TTTCAACAAAAGCTCCTTCTTGCGTTCTCTCTTCTTCTCTAGCCTCCTACTTGAGCTAATGAAGCTTCAGTGATGCCTCTGGAACAATGGAGCAATTTATGTAACTGCAGGTTGGAGAGAACAAATAAGGGATGGTAACTGAGGGAGGGCGCTGAAGAGAGGCGGCGGGAGCAAAGTTCCTCCATCTGTGTGAAGAGATCTCTCATTACTGGTGATTACAGAGGAAGCATTACAGAGCCAAAAAGAAAGTAGCTGTGCTGAAAAATGTTCTTTGATAGTTTATTGATATGCAGACGCTGCTCTGCGAAAGGACCACAGACCTCGTTACGGTGGTCTTCACATCCTCGAGTTCATGGCGTGGAGGTTGGTATTAAGAGAAGGGAACTGGCACTACCTCTGCACAGGGTTTATGAAAAGTCACTTAACCTGTTTCTTTAAAAAGCTCCCGAGTACTTTTTACAGCTGCATGAACATTGTTTACTAACACTCCGTGCATAAATTGGATACTTCTCTCTGGAAATAGCTGGGTTTCTTTTCTGTGTGGAAGACTATGTGCTTCCACAAATATTTGATGCATATTTATAATTACAGCAAGTCTTCTTTCACAGTTTTAGAAAACAGGTGCTGCCTGCTCTGTTTATGCCTAGACAATAGGAATGGGGTATTTTTTTAGCAGGCATGGTAGCAAAAAATATATATAGGTGTTTTGCTAAGCTAGTTGACAAGAAGCCCTACCTTGTCTAATGGTAATGTGTTTTCACAGTTCATATTTGATTATGCCTAGAAGCTCCCTAGTCCCTGCCTCTTCCAAATGCATACAGACGTTTATATTCTGAACACGAAAAATCAGCAGAATTCAAATACTCTTTTAAGCATATTTGAATTAGTCATCAGCTACTCTGAAACTTCAAACCAGTTCATAACATTTTCAGTACAAAAACCAGGCTCAGGTGTGACCTCACATCCAGGCATAAGTAGTTACTTTTCTTTTTTATTTGGCAAGGCAAGAGCTCTTCTGTCAGGAAGGAATATAAGTATCTTCCCTGCAAAATCCACCGATGAATAAAATTACTTTCAGCTAAGTTTAGGTAATTCTGCCCATACAGAGGCCAGAGACCATAAAAATACTGTGCAAAAGGCTCACAGTGAAATGCATCCATTTCTTTACTCTTTGGGGAAAGGACTTTAAGACCAAAAGCCCATTCTGAAAGCTCAGAGAAAAGTACCATTAGGATTTTAAATTATACAGAAATACATTGATGTCGCTAGTGGGACTCTAAGACAGCATGGCGCTCGTACGGATGGCATCAGCACTTCAGTGCAGGTATATCATGGTCTTACAGCAAAACCAATCTCTACCAACTCCCCATGAGTGTTATGAATTTTAATGAGTCTCTTAAAACTGGGTATTTTGTTTACAGCTTTAGCTCTTTGACTCTGAACATGTGAAAGAAAGGGATTCCTAGCCCACGTGCTTGCAAAGGCACCCTGAGATTTAAAGCTGGTCTCATCACTTTTGAACAGAGATACTACTAATGGATGTAGGGGAAAACCCTGCTGTTTGCCTTCAGTACATAATACTTAATCATAAACTAAGAATTTGAGATTGGAGGCTCAGACTACCTGGAAAAAAGTCATGTTCAGAGTTTAAGCAGCTGCAACTCCCTTTTTAAATGGCTGCTTGCTCAGCTCATCATGTGCGGGATAACCAGTTCTGGAGCTAGGAGTGTTAATATGGGGTTTTTTTTAAGGTTTGATTCAATGAATTCAAGCTCTAAGAAGCGGAAATTTATAGAAATGGGAGAAAAAAAGCCTGCTAAAATAACACAGTATATGGTCCCTGTTGCTTAGCTCTGGTCTTGCACAATAATGTTTTAACATTCTTGACCTGTATTAGAATATGGAGATGGAGGATCACAAAAACAACTCCCTCTGTCATCTTCCTATTTTATTCTACTAGAAAGCCCAATTACCAGCCCCCGCTCAGGCAAATGCCTCACATAGGAAAGACTGATAAATTCTTTGTTCATTCGTTTATTCAGAAGTGACAAAACCCCAGTATGGAAGGTATTCTCACGTCTAGTTTGTCAGAGGTTCAGCTGTTAACCACAGAAAGCTGTGAGAGTTTGTTTAGATGAACTTTTATCTTTTCTGTTCAGTTTCTTCTCTCTTACAATGGTAGAAGTGTCTGTGCTAATAAGATTCCTGGGCTTTCAGTTATGTTTGGGGCTATTTCTGGGAAAAAACACCCCCACCAAAAGGGGAGAAGGGAAGGTAACCCAGCAAGATGAGTCATGCTGTAACTTTCCTCAGGTTTGTTAAATAACTGGTACCTGTTTTGACTTTTCAGTAGCTACCTGTAGCATCGTACTCGTTGCGGTGGCAGTAGATGGCACGCAATCAACGTTCATCTGCAGGTATGCTGAGGACTGGTGAGCAGAAGCCAGGGGATCGGGGGAAGTGTGTTCTACAGGTGCAAGAAACAGCGGTTTGTCTCACGTGCGGGCAAATGAAGTGGTAGAGGAGCACGTGTTGTGGGCATGATTTCAGAAGCTGATAAAATCTTCCTGGAGAAAGCTGGCTCTTTGAATGATGGAAGATCACATGGAATAGGGCTGATTTCTCTTTTGCAACCGATTTAGTATCATTTTAAGTTACTCGGCCTCTACTGTATTTCAAAGACCTTCCACTGATCCAGTGAAGATCATGCAGGATAATCTTTAAAAGAAGAAAACAAAATCCTTTTTCTGGAGGATAAGAATGTGAAGTAGGTAACCGCAATTTAACACCAGGTTAAAAAAAAACAAAACCACACAACAATTTCTTCACCCTTTCCTTAAGGTGTAATGCAGTTGGTAGCTTTTGTTTTTATCAGCTGAACAATCTAGGAGTCCCACCTCTCCTTATGAACAAATGAAGAGAACCACAGCTAGACACTGGCACCTTGTTCACATTATGAGTTTGTCATTTTTAGGCAGGCCAGTGGATTTCCTAAGTCACAGGAAGAGTTAATGTTACTGTAACCTTTTCAGATCCAAGCTGGGTGTAAGGTGCTCCTGAAAAGAACCAGAGTTGGAAAGAATGAAGCAATGTGCTCTCGCCACACCCTTGGTGTGCTGTCAGGAACCTGCCATCAGAGGTAAGAGAGACTCAGCTGTTTCAGGAGATTTTTTTTTTTTTTTTGCAAAATGTATATGCTTTGATTGTCTCCTCAGACAAATCCGTAGACGTTTTACTTTCAGTTGGATTTTATCATTTCCAGCAACACCCTGTTTACCATAAAATAGTTGGCAAACTTCATATAAAAATACTTTATTGGGGTTTTCGGAAGGTAGCAGACACAAGGAAAGGTACAAGCAGGCTCAGCAGTACGTACTGTCAATTCTTAGTACACATACTTCAAAGGATATATTTTAACTCATACATAATGGTCTGACTGAACACATCACAAGACTGAAATATCGCATACACAAAACCAGACATCATTTAAAACCTGACTTCAGATGACAATACTGATCTACTCAACAGATGTCACTGGAATAAAGTTGGATAGCATTTTCTTTTATTCCTAGCAGCTGCCAAAACGCAGTTTGCTTACAACGGCTAAGTGTAATCGGCAATCACAACATCATAAGCTTTTGGGTACTACTTTACAGCGTTTGGGTTTCTATTTGTAAATGTAGTTTTCAGACATACGATCTTGAGCTTCCCTGTACAGTACTGTTAAATATGAGCGTTTGCCATGGCAACTAATTACGTATTTGTATTACTACATCACTGAGCAGTACCAACAGAGATGGGGAGTTGAAGTGTTTCGCTTTATGGTCATACTACCTCTGTTCCCAAAGAGGTTACGGACTAAATGGGCAATTATGATGAAGCACGAGATGGGAAGCAGAGATAAAATGCCCAAGATCTCACATTAAGGTTGAGGATAGAGCCCTGGTCTCTTGAATCTGGGGCTCTATCTGTGGAATTAGCTGACTGCTTGCTAAATAAATAAATAAATAAATAAAGTGATGCTTATGCTGCAGGGATCAGCTCGACCAGGGTCTCCATTCAAATTATGTATTTTAAAAGGAAGCATGCAAGAGTTCTGGAACTTGCTAAAATTAAGAGGTCTGAAACTAACGTAAACAATGGAACGCAAGCTTCGCTTCTCCCAGTGCTTGTCATTCACTAGCACATTGCCAAAGAAGTATTTTAAGATCCTGCGGAAGAGATTTTAAAATGTCTTTGGGTCATCATGAGGGAGACTGGAGAAGCTGATACCTTGCTGGCACCTTTCACATAGGCACAGCAGCCCTCTTCTGCGGGTCTGCCACATCCTGCAGGCCAGGGACTGAGCTCCGGGCAGGAGGGAAGTGCTCCCATGTGCAAAGGACATCGGATCAGCTTTGAAGCAAGGATCAGGGAATGCCAACAGGATGCTTCGGGATGCTCAGCACCTCTGAGTCTGTAGTAGACTCCTTAGGGCAGAGATTTGTCCCTTCTTGGGGCGGGGAAGGGACATCTATTGCACCACATGCAGCGGGAATCTAGATGGTGGCTGTAGCTGCTGTAGCAGTAATGACAAATAAGGTGTTTTCCTTCTGAGGTTCGGTCTTTTCTTTCTGTATCATCACATGTGTGTAAGATCTTAAGTGTAAGGAAAAACCCTCCCATTCATGGAAAAAATCTGGTCTGCAAGGAGGTAAACTGTAGTTTAGTCCAGTGGTTTTAGGTTAGATATTTATTTTTGCTAGCTTTTATTTTTTCAGATTTTATTTGAACAAAATGCTGGTGCTGCTCTGGCTGACTAGATGGCAGCAGAGCCCTTTTGTGGCACCTGCAAGTGGAGGACACAGATACCGCTGCCTGTGGTTCACGTCAAAAACCCCTTACCCTTCTATTCCGCATGGTTTTGCTGCTGATGGACTAGAATAAATGAATAGTGGTCTCAGTGCTGCCTTCTTCACATGCCCCAGACTTGGGCTCCCAGGTTCTTCCAAGAAAGGAAGCTACAGTACTTTTTCCGTAACACAGGTGTATTGAAACAAGGCTCTTTTCATCCGCACACTTCACTTCCAGCAGTTCTGAAGGGGATCGTGAGGTTGAATCTTTAGCTTCTTGGGACAGAGGAGTTTAATAAAAGCTCTTCTGAAGCTGTAGTGGCAGAGAGGGTACAGGACAGGGTTGACAGCCGAGTTGATCCACAGCAGCCAAAAGGAAGTCTCGTACCAGTAGTCAGAGATGCAGTGGCCGTGGCAGCCAGCGCGGATGATCATCAGGAGCGTGTACGGTGCCCAGCAAATCCCAAAAATGCCCACGATGATTGCCAGCGATTTGGCCACTTTCTTGTCTCTAGAGAGCCTGAAGCGTTGAGTCATGCTCTGGGATACTACCTTCATCCGTTTCTCTAAGGACAGAGTGGATGCTGAATTTTTGCAGCCCTTTTTGTTGCAGCACTTAGGTTTCCCGGAGCTCTCAGAGCTTGTTGACAGCAGGTCGTTGGCACCCAGGCTGGCAGGGGAGGCTGCTGCTTGAGCTTTGCTCTTAGAGAGGTCGAGGGTTTCAGCTGGCTCCTTCTGCTCCCACTTACAGCATTTCAAAGAAAGCTTTGCTTCTGGGCTCATTTCCATCTCTTCAGTGAAGGACTGGTTGTGCACTTCGTGGAAAATATCCAGGCGTATTTTGGTACGCTTCTGTATGTTCAGGTAAATGCTCAGGTTGAAAAACATTACACTGATGAAAGGGGTGAAAAACTCCAGCGTAGAGGCTGTCATGAGAAAATACCAGTTGTGGAAAAATTCAGCGTAGCATTCCCCAGTGGGTATGATACTCTGACCTGATATATACTCCCAGCTGATGATGGCAGGTCCGTAAAGCAGGAACGCAAATACCCATACCATCACCATCTTCAGCACCGCTCGCTTGGTGTTGCCTTGCTGGGCTCTGTAGGCGACCTGCAACGGGAAAACCTTTTCTTAAGTATGGCCACACACCCCAACTGGTTGAGGCTCTTCACAAATGAACTGTTAGCATTCCTGGTAAAGTTGCTAGGCAATATCCCAGCAGTGTAACAGATTCATATGCTATAGGCAACAGGAGCAATTGCTAGATAAATCACACTCCTGCGGGGAAGAGTTAGGGCCCTCATCTTGCAGCTTCAAAACCAGATGTGGCCTCTGCTTAGTGGAAATGTACTGGCTTGGTTGGAGCCTGGCAGCCTGCTGCACCCTACCACTTGCCTGAGTAGTCCCCGGCTGCCCTCTGCAACTCCCGGGGCTCCATCAAACTCCTGCGCCAGGCAGGCACCCAGCTCTGCCTCTCCCTGAGCCTTGCAGCTAATCCATGGTGCGTCTGGAGTGAGGGAACAAGCAAATGGCAACGGATCTGATCTGCCTGCGACTTGCTCGTTAACTCCTGCAAAAGGCTGAGCGTTCTCATCTCACCGTGGACCCAGAGACCTCAGGGCAGTGCCCTGCCAAAGTTGGTACTGCAACCTACTGCCTTGGTAGCCAGGGAGAAGCTGGGATCCGGCTACAATCTGCTTGTTTGTCCTGGAGATAAGAAGCCCCTGCAAGTTAGTAACAGGTCTGCTTACCTCGCTGACTCACTTGTACACTACTGTCCCGTCATCTGGGAAGGGAACACCTGCACGATGGGGTCTGATCCTTAAATGATTTAATTATGCCAGAAATACTAATCTGAAACCACAGCTGAATTGTGTATTTGTGGATAATTATTGCTTTCCATCAGCAGGCTGAGAGATTCATAATTTCTGGAGGATTCAAAGAGCTTTTAATTATTGCAGAGAATCCAGAGACTAAAGCAGGAGGAGAGTTATTCCCCGCTCAGCTGCCATGACAGGACTCACTGCTCTTGTCACCGAGAGGAATCTGTCGTAGCTGATCAGCACGATGTTGAAGACCGAAGAGGTGCAGAGCAGGTAATCAACCACCAGCCAGAGTTTGCAGAGGCTTCTCCCGAAGATCCACCGCCCCGTCAGCACATAGGGCACGTACAAGGGAATGCAGAAGGCTCCTGCAACCGGAGGGGTCCGCCGGCATTCAGAT